CACACACACACACACACACACACACACACACACACACAGTAATCATACAAGTGATAAATCTTTATCATACATGCATACACACTTCTGGCTTCACACGCTCATCAGACCCATGGCGACAAAGAAAACTGGGCGTGGCTGTGGCGCTGTGGGAGGCAGTGTGGGTATCCCCACTGGAAAAGCCCTGAACACAACCCCCCCGTTCCCCCTCCGACACCTTAAACATGATTAAGATGTGTCTGGAGGAATAGTAGGGCAGAGGCGCGATGATCAAAAGCGCTGTTAATTCTGTTTAGTGAGAGCCAGGCTGTTTTTGCAGCTCTAAATTTAGGAGGTCTTCCAATTTTCCCTCAAAGAAACTGCCAGCAGAGGAAGCTAGGCACCGACTCTCTCCAAAAATTCAGGATCAATTGTGAAACAGCTCGAAGATGCTAATGGAGAGATAAGAAGTGGAATGATGCATGCCACAGAGGAGCAATGATGCTGCGAGGAAGGAGGAGCATTGTTTTATTGATTCAGGCATTAATGTACATTATGTACAAATTGGTTCAGGGTGGCCCCTCATGTACAGCCTACTGCTGCGCAAACAAATTGGAGCGTTTGTCTCAATATCGACTTGTGTGCATATCAGGGTGTGAATAGCACATCTAATTTATTCATGAATACATTTTTTTTTCCATTTCACCTGACTTGCTCGCTCACTGCATCTTTTGTAAAAACAAAAAAAACCTCACAGGAGAAATCTCTGAATCTTTACCCGTCAAGTGGACTAAGCCAGCTTTCCGTTTTGACAGCTGAAGGGAAGGAAATCCGGGGGGAGGGTAGGGAGGGACACATAAAGGATGGAGACGCCACATATATCACTCAGGTTGCTCGAACACGGCCCACTGACAATTTGTCAGTCTTCTTTATAGCATATAGGGCAACTCCCAAGAATCATAGAAACAAAGGTGTCTCAGTATGAGAGTGTGTGGCAGTTTCCTGTGGTGGATTCACTTTGTTTACTTTCATTAATCATATGTTCCAGTGATCGCTGGTGTTAATACATTGTCTGTGAGAGACATAAGATGTGTATCTACCACTTCTTCTACTTTACAGGCAGCATGTGTACACATATATAATGTAGAACCCCATCACAATGCAGAGCCAACCCAAGGTCTGCCTGTGTGGAACACACAAATAGCCAAAGACACACACATACACACACATACACACACACAATCTCTCTCTCTCACTCCCTTTCCACACATACAAACACACTTGACACATGCGTATACATATCCGTGTCCCTTTGGACCGTTGCCATGCAACATTTTTCTGATTGGGTTAGTTGAGCTCTGGTGCATGTGCACTCACTCACTCTCTCACACACACACACACACACACACACACATTCACTCCTTTGCCACACCCATCCTCCTCTCCCATGGTACACAGCTGCACTTCCAAGGCCAAGGATGGAGTGAGGGGAGAGACTGCACGGCTGCTCCAGGAGGAGGGAGTATCTCCCCCTCAGCTCCTCGGCTCACTCCAGAGTTGTAGCTTTTCTTGACGAGCTCCTTGGAGATGGTGGATGGTTCTTACTTTTGAATTAGAGGTGCTTTTATTCAGTCGTGTTTACTCCATTTTCATTTTGAGAAACTGCGCGTTGAAATTCTGAAACCAGCGGGAAATGTCTTTTATATGAAGAGGATTGATCAGTAAAAAGACACCAAACACACCTCACTTTGCTTTTTGGTTTATGGTGCAATAAAAAAGTCTCTTGCTGACAGGTTGGACCGATTCTTCACAGCTCCCAGGGCTGCGAGCTGCTCATATTTGCTTTTTCATGTTGGTTGATTTGGCTTTGGAAAGATATATTTAACTTGATAGGTCTTCAGGTTGACATGACCCACATGAGAACAGCAGCGTAGATGCTGTGGTTGCTGAAGGATGTTTCACTTTATTTTCTGTAATATGACCTGAGTTGTGTGTTTGTTTCAGGAGAAACTGCTCAGATAAATATGCGGTGGTTGTTTGGTCTCAACTTTAGAGGGAACATCTAAGCTGGATTCTAATGTAAGTTATAAAGACTGTAGTCATGATGTGTGACATAGCTCTGTGTCCTGGTTTCACGATCACGTGTATCACCTCAAAAATGATGCGTGTCAAGGATTAGACATTGATTAGAAAATGTTGTTGTTTACAAAAATTTATTCATACAAATCTTACAACACTTTCATAACATTGAGAAACGTAAAACCCCATATAAGGACTCCTGTGTGTATAATGATGTCACTTGTACTAATGTTCACTTTTAAAACACATTATTTTCAGATAGATAAGAGATTAAACATTGAAGTAAGGCGTTTGGCGCTTTCAGAAATATCAACAACAGACATTTTCTATGAGCTGAACGTAATCTCTTTTACTTGCTCTGAACCCCTTTGATTCTAGATAGTGATGCACACAGTAAATAATATGTTGGTGCTCTTCTCTGGTTAATAAATTACTGACCAATATCAAAATAACCAACAACACCTCATTATCAATAGTAACAAACACTGATCATTGTTCACAACTCTCACAGACACTGAACACCCCAAACCCATGCACACTCACAAACACACACACATTGCCTGCTCCACCAACATATACATTCTTTTCTTTTTTTATGTCAATAAATCATTGGCCATGCTTTAAAAAGAAAGCCTAATTCTACTACTTTCGGGGTAGACTAAGCCGAGCAATTAAACAGAGTAAAAGGAAGTTTCAATGTAAGCTAATGGACTGCAGCATTGTAGGGCCACTTAAATTGCCATCTGTCACTTGTGGCGAATTTTTGTTTTTTTTTGTTTTATTTTTTTCTCACGTCGAAGCAAGGCACCTAAGCCAAAAGCTGTTTCCACCTCCACACACACACACTTAGTCATTCATTCACACAAACATTAAATACACACACACACTCTCTCACACAAACAAAAACACACAAATGCTCACCAGTATGCAAACATCTACATCCACACACACACACACACACACACATACTCACATAGCCTGTAGGATAAAGCCAGATTGAAGAAAGGGTGTATTGATAGTTTCTATGGGGGAACACAGGCCACTGATCGGATTGCAGGGGTGCATAAAGCTGTATTTGCATAATATTGAATAAATACATAAGATATCTCTCTAATAAAAGTCAGTGGGAAGATCCCTCTGCTGGAGGGCTGAATTTTTCATTCACCTCCGCTCCAGTGCACGAGGGAGACTCTGAGTGGCCTCGCCCAGCTTCACTCACATATTGTTAATGCCTCTGCTGAGACCAAAGTGAAGGGAATTCAACATCTGACATTTTCTATCAGACTCATTGACCCTGATCTAACTTTGGCAGGTGAGGTGAGTCGAGGCAGCGGTGGCGTTGCTGCTCTCGCCTCCTTTTTGTTTCAGGTGCGACAACCTCTCTCTGGCTCATGGGTGTTGTAACCTGTCTCTTATGTAACAGCCTACTTTGCTTTCTCTCTCTCTCTCTCTCTCTCACACACACACACACACGTATATATATGCACTGTCTCTCTTTTCTTCTCCATGCACACCTCTGCCTGACACTCTCCTCATCTCTCTTTCACATCCTCACTGCACATATATCCAGCACACATCTTACACAGATCAGCCTCGTCTTAGCGACTGAACCACAGCACTGTCAAATCAGCGATTTAGCACGGCGATCAAAAATAATCTTTATAAAACCACTACCAGGACAAAGGCAAACAGCGGGGAGCGAGGCCAGTGCGTCGCCTTATGATATCCACAATGCAAGAAGTATGGGAGGTAAAAATCCAACAAGTCAGTGCAGTACCAGTCTCCACCACCGCTAGCCCTCCTTGATCACATTTCCAACACATCTGAGGGTGGGGGGGTGGTGGTGGTGCTGAAATGGGCTTAGCACAGCCCACCTCCCAAATAGCACAATCCAACAAAGCATGATGGCATGCAGTTTCTAAGCAAACACATGCACCATCAAATAAGAAATGAGTTAAATATTCCAAACTGAAACTCAGATGCTACCTTTCCTCTGCGCCTCTGCTCAAACACATGTTACATTTCCTGCTTCATTCATGTTCTGGGTCCTTTCTCTAGATGTGATGTGCTGTCCACATACAATCAACAGGTGAAGCACATCCTTCCAAAAAAAGGTCTGTTGACTGAACACAGACAACAATGAGATGAATGTGCACTGTTTAGATGCTATACTGTAGATAATACACACACACACACATGGAACATTCTTTACACAGTCCGCTCGAGCAGGATTTCTCCCCTATGCTGGACGACTTTGAGGCAAGTGAGCAAGCAGTGTTTGCTGCATACTGTGAACAACCTTTGGGCTTCCTTTACGTTTACTGAAAGCAATTGAATGCCCTCGCAAAAGGCCTGCGATGAAATTTCTGCTCTAAAGAAGGGGTCGGATTTTGCCACCAGTTACATGAAGGATCATGTAAGTCAGTCGGTTTCTCCATCAAATGAGAGGCTGTTCAACAAAAGCCATCTGAATTCCCCTGGAGGGGCAGCAAGCTGTACAAACCCACAGAGCTCCCACTAAGGGAGCGAGGAGGAGGGTAGACAAGGGCAACATCTATCATTTAGGATAAGCCGGATATGCCTCACATAGCATGCTCACTGCTTCTTTGGGCCTATTTGGAAAACAAACAAACAAACAACACTAAAAAAATAGAACGTCGGTTACAAAAATAAGTGTAACATTCAATACTTTGATTGTCTTTTTAAAATCTATTTATTTTCTGCATATGTAGATGACCTTTAAAGATTTCAAGCGCATAACGTTGAAGGTGCACAATTATCTTTTCTTTTTCTAATGTCTTTTTTTTTTTTTTTTTTCGTCATTTTGTTTTGTTTTCAACATCTCAACATGAAAATAAAATATTGGTCCACAGAGTATAACTGTGCAGTATCAAGTGCTTTTGTACAAAAAGAAAAAAAACGATATTATTATTAAAATATTCATTTTAATGGCTTTACTTCATACATAAATACATGTTGAAAGAACACAGGCGCAATCCACTGGTTGGTCAGATATATCTGAATGACTTTGATTTAACGACTGGATGTATATACACAGGAGGGCAGCTGGGGCGCTTTAACAACGCTACAAATAGGCAAGTCGGCGTCCTTTGTTCCTAACTCTCTGTCTGTACCTTCTTCCCAGAACCGCTGCCAGGTATTTCTGCACGGCCATCTGCTTTCTATAGCGACTGTAGCTGTCGGTGAAGATCCCATCTGAGTGTCTTTTGGATAAGGGCTCTGACTCGTCCTCCATGCTGTTGTCATCACTGGAAAGAAAACAATTACATGCATGTAAATAAATGAACAAGGAAGTCAAATCGATTTAGATGAAGTTCTCCTCTCAGCACATTCCTGCCTTTTGTTTTTTTTAAACCAGCTTTAATCATCCAGTTGCCACCAAATCATTAAAATTCCTTTATGGGCCTCTGTCCTATTTTTTTTTTTCGTTTGGGTTTTTAAAATCGAGGGGAAACAAGCAAACTGGCAGAGTGTTGTAGAAGAAACTGATTTAAGTGTTTTTAGAAAAGTGAGGAATTATTCATGAGAAGCCCATTGCTTATTCTGACGCAGGATTTTTAAATCGTGCTTTTTTGGGTGGTGGTGTGTGGGGGGGAAATCAATTTATAGATTAAACACATGTAACTCGCAGTTGTGTTTTGGTTTACAGAAAACTGACCCCGCTCATTCACAAGGGAGGATTCATGAGCGCAGTGCCACAACAACAACAACAACACACACAAAAATGAAGGACATCAAATTGTTTTATATAAAAAGAGAGATTTAAATAATAAATGGGTACATCACGCACATAAAATGGGAGACAGTGGTGCAGCAGCCTGAACTTGTGCAGCGGAGAAACATTATATATATATATATAAAAAAGAGAAATTATAAAGAAAACGATGACTGCAGGTGAACGCTTATGAGAAATGCCCTTACCCTGCACGAATTGTCATCAGAGAATGCAGATAATGTCTCGCTGTTAACTGACCCAGGATCTCCCTCAAGGCTCTATCTAATTCTTCCTCAGCATGCCTTTCTGCTCTGAGATGATAAAACGCCAAAACACATAGATCATCAGTGACTTAAAATAAAAGCGCAGACAAAATGATCAGAAGTAGCCTAAAATGTCCCCACCCCCACCCTCAGGTCCAATATCACACCAGGCAAGGTGCAATTAAATCCGAGCCACATGGTCATTTTTACGCACAGGCTTTTTTTTAAATCCTTCCTCATTTGCCCGCCACCTTTTTAAAAAAAAACAGTTATTGATTCCACATTTTAGGCTACTCGGAGTGAAAATAACACTGAACAGATAACATGAGGAACTCTGGGGAAAACGCAAACAGCAAAAGAGTCATTAACACTGAATCTCCAGCAGCTCAGGGCTCTTTGGCTGTGGTGTGAATGCGCATTTACCTCTTCTCTGGCGGGTAGTATAGAGTGTACGCGTCGTCGTTTAGGGATGGTGGGCTTCGTATAGCAATCTGATCGCCATCAAAGCCCATGTCGGATAATGAATTCCCATCCTCATCGAAGGCGTCGTTTTCAAGTCTGCAAACAAAAAATACAAAATAGAGAAAATAGCAGAGAACCCATCACAAATCTGATCCGTGCACAAGTGGGACGCGGCAGAGGAGGAATGCCAAAATGTCTGCATCTGCTTCTAAAATCAGTGGGAGGTTAAAAATGCATCAGAGACACAGCGAATACAACGAAAAAAATTAAAAATTAAAAAATCAAAACCTGTGGGTGTTTTAAATAAAACCAGAAAACGAATTATTTGAAATTAAGCCAAAGAAATATGTTTTAAAATGTGTTAAATCGGTGCATCTTTATTTTTTCCCCAATGTTTAAATGCATTATTTAATCGGGAGAATCTGTTTTTAATTCCAACTTGGTGCTTCAGGTCTGAACACGGGCTACAGGACTCATTAATTATTAACAAATCGAAACAATGGATGTGAAATGATCACGTTTAGCGTAGGCGTGGAGCCAAGATTTTTATTAAAAGAATGCTGCAGAGACAAAATGAATTGGAGTCAATAACAACCACGCCCAAATTATGGATTATGCTTTTCCCAGAAAAAGCAGAATAAATCTCGCAGCTCTCCTATTCGTTTTGCCTCGCCTCTCCTTGGTGACGCCAGTCCACCGTCATCCCCAGGGCTATCCATCGCATTGACTGCACTCTCATTTTTAATAAGGGGAGTTCTGTGAACCGTCCCACCGGACAGATACTTCTATGCAATTTCCATAATCATTTTCCACACACGACTTGCATTTTGTGCGTGTGTTGAAATTGCCGCATTCGCCGTCTGTTGCCCCTCGCAATCCTCAATTTAAAAATAAGCTGCGCGTCTTGCCTGTGTGCGTAATTGCGCACACTTATTTGGAATAAAGTGCACAATTCCCAGCACCTCACGCTTAAATCACAATGTATTGAACAAAACAGTTTTCAGCTGCATTTATAAAGTGTAAATGGATAATGATAATCAGATTAGAAAGCTCACCTACCTGATTTTAGGGTAACTTAGTCCGATAGGTGTGCAGAAGACGCTGTAGTGCATTAAGATTCCGTAGATGAGCAAGATTAAAGTCGCTTTACTCGAACTGGCCATGCTGTTAGAAAAGGAAAAACAGTAACATGAGACAGGTTAGTCACTCAGCATCCTCTTTGTTCTGTCAAATTCACATGCAGTGCTACTTATCTTATTACAAACTAAACAAAGCTGGATGAAACATAAACCTCTTTAAATCTACGCAGCGTTTCCTCAAAACAAAAAAGGTTTCTACCTCTTGTATTCCTCCAATTTCGTAGAAGTTTAACTGTGACATTGACACTAAATCCCTTGCATGCAGCGCCAAAGTCATTCAAAAACCCCCAGCAGATCTCCATGCAGGTCAGAGGGGGGAAAACTGAATATTTCCCATCACTTTATCTCGCTCTCCATCAATGAATCCCCCCGAGTTTGTTAGTTTTTTAAAGACGATCCGCAGATAAGGCACATACCTATAGCAGGAGAGCAGGGAGAGCGCTTTGCTGCGGGTTGTGATCCGGGCGCGGCTGCTGTGCTGGAGTGTGTGTGAGAGAGAGACCGTATCTTTCTCACTGCACTTGTTTCCTTGCTGAGGCGCCCTCGTCGTCTCCTTATGTTTCCCCTCAGCGCTGCCTCGCTCACCTTTACGCACAGTTACCGGGACTCGCTCAAACCGATGTGGCACGGGCAAACAAAAAACTCGGTGGTAAAGTGCGCCGTGTGCGCGTCTACATATCGCTGCTCCCAACTTTTTGTCCTGTGCTGTGATTGCCTTGGATTTTTATCCGTGCATCGTAAGCCTCCCCCTCCACTCCGCTCCCCCCCTCCCTCCAACAAGTCACATTAAGGATGCTATAGACGTCATCAAGTCTTCCTCCCGGAATATAATAGTACAGTTCCTTCCCCATCGATGCATCTGTCAGACTCACCCCCACCGCACACACACACACACCTCCCTCCCTCCCTCCCTCCTAAGATGGAAGTTTACTTCCAAACTTTCGTCTTTTTTTAGAAGCAGAAATGGTTGTGAATGCATATAGATGCTTCATGAACTTTACTCATGCAGGAAGGTGTGATGACCAACACCAATCGACCATTGTCCACCACCACTGCTTGTTTTGCCCCCAGTGTCTCCCCCGCCCGTCATTAATAAGTCCAACCAGGCTTTTTTGTGATTATAGCTGAGCTGGGGAGTGGTCGTGTCGGTTTCATGCGACTGGATGGTTTGTGATAGAGGAGGGGGAGGGAGGGGGAGGGGTTGGGGGTGATCAGACTTCCGCCGACCAACTTCAAGCACCCTGGTGAGTCAGGAGCTGTCCGGTGCTGAAATGAATCCTCTCAAATTGAGGTTTTCTGACTTTGCGGTCACTTTTCCTAATGGTTGTTAATTATCACTCAGAGGATGAGAGGATGAGAGGATGGGGAAGTGACGGGGCTGCTGGTGACTTTGATGGCGGTGCAATGACAGCGGTAAAGGCCCAGGGCCTGTCCGTCGGATTGTTGAAATGAACGAGGTGCGTAATCTGATTTGAACGCAGGCTGGTGACGCAAGATGCCGGATCAGAGCGCCGTCAGCCTACGTGGCTTCATAAACGATTCAGCCACTCAAGCAACATAGTTCTGACATTTAAAAAAGAAAGGTACAAGTGAGAGCCAGAGAAGGGCCTTGACGCTGTGAGGGTTGGTGACAAAGAATGAGTCTGAGGCTTTTTCTACGATTTGTGAAGGTGAAACAAAACCAAGTATGAACTGCACATGAATATTCCTGACGTTTATAGGTGTTGGTTTGCAGCAGGGTGCGTCACATGTGACTTCCAGGAGACTTTTGGAGAGGGGGCGCCATGGGTTTTAGGTGCGGTGTCGTGTCGACCTGTGCGGGGCCTCGGTGTGATCACGCACCGGAGGTCAACGCACCTTTCCATTCTGAATCACACCTATAGCTCCAGCAACCAATCGAAGGAGTTGGCCGAAGAGGAGGAAGATTCACGTCATCGTTTTGTCTACTCTGACGCAACGTGACGAACAGAGCGTGTCACTGTGGGGAGGGGTGTGTGTGTATGGGGGGGGGTGTATTCTCAACTTGTGTCTGTAATTGCTCTGAGGATCTTAACGTAAACCCCCATATGTTTAAACTGGAGCACACTACTGCTATCAAGCCTGATGGTCTGAGTAAACAGCGCCATCATGAGGAGAGCAGAGGAACATGCGAGCTGCTCTGAGGTTCATTCATCAGCATGCTGCAGTCCTCACATGAGGAAGAGTAAACCCCCTCATCTTCATCATCATGTCAACAAGCATATAACGTAACACTGCAGTGCTTTCAAAGCAAAACAACTTGCTCCGCCTCCTTAGCTCATTAAGGAACTTTCTATCTCAAAAATCGATCTTATATGATCATATCTTCACAGTAACCTGGAGGTATTCATCTGTTTTGTTTTGAGGTAAGAAGTCTGTTCTCACAAAGCATCCTGGGTTTGACATACTGTATGTTTATTAGTCAGTGTTTCCAACTCTGTTTGATCATTCGCATATTAAACACAATCATACTTGTCACGGGTTGAATTCACTGCATCTATGAGAAGTGGGCTGCTCCACTGAGTAATGATGTTCCACAAACTGCTCATCATGTTTCACTTAACAGACGTGAAGTGATACACCACTGAAATCAATATTTCACAAGAGAAAAAGCAAATTTTACAGAAAAGTCTGAAAAAATGAAAATCAGTTTTTGGTTTGTTTTATGATTCAAAATGAAAACAAATCAAACAATCAAGAAATAAAAAATAAAATACAATTAAGAGCAATAAAGTGAAGTATAATAAAAAGAGTGTTCCCTCTTAAATGTATTGGAATTTTTAGACTTCTGTTTTTTTAGATTAATTTGTGGAAACTGTTCCCCCAAGAAGAATGGCAGCAACTTAGTGTTGTAACATCATTAAATAGATTTATTTGAACAGTAATTTTGAAGGACAGAGACAAATGATGTCTTCCTGCTGATAGAGGCTTCAGACTAGTAAACACTTCCATTCATCTTTTTAAAGACAAAGACAAATGACACATTCTCTCATGTAATTTGGAAAAGTTGTTAGGATGCATCACGATGAATAAATAGATATGAATGAAAACTATTAACAAATGCCTCACTCAAGGAGGTCATGTTTTCATCCTCATCTGGTTTTTTGTCAAAAAGTTCTGAGGCAATTTGTACCAAACTTGGTGAAGGGTTTTGACAGCTTCCATGGAAGCAGGGGCGAGCCTTCAGTCTTTTGGTCCATATCCAGTGGGCACGTCTATAAATTAAAATCTATTTTTTTCCTTATTGAGAAATTTGGCATTTGACCATATTTCAATCAATTCTTCAGGGAATACAGTATGGATCATGACGTAAAAATTATATGTATCATTATATATTATTATATATTTTTAAGACAGACATAGGATTGTTTGGTCTTGGACTCTAATGATTCTATTTTGATTCATTTGTTTTATTTAAAATCTTCCAGCTTCTCGGAGAGGTCTCCACTTTTAGGTTGATAACCACAAAAACATAACACCTACACAACTCTACCAGCCACAAGTCTACATATCCTAGTTTGGAAAAAAAAAAAGCCAGTAAGTGATTCTTGATTTCAGACTGTTTTATCAGTTTATACATTTTACGTTTCATGTTGTTTGATTAAGAAAAACACAGAGGCTAAAGAGCAAGTTAGTAACGCGCGCGCGCGCGTGTGTGTGTGTGTGTGTGTGTGTGTGTCAGGGCAAACTTGCAGTGCTGCACTCAGTGTCAATAGGGGTCAGCAAATCACTTCTGAAGAATGGTCTCATTCATACTGAGCCTGCAGTGGTTTAGTTGTTGTCATTGTTTTTTCTAATGTGAGTTGTTTGTGAATCTCAGCGTTAACTTCCTCCATCAAGAGCCGCTACAACATTTTATCATCAATAAACCACCCACATCGATAAAATAGACCTGTAGATCAGCTTTGAGTCACAAACCTTAGCCTGGTATACAACATGTGCTTCCTGCAGATTGTTCTACAGTCTGTGCTGCTGCTGCCTTTACTTCAACAAACTTATTATACTTAGTTTAAAACGTAAACCCACGCTCACTATATCAAAAAGATAGGGGGCGCCAGATTCCTGCACATTGTCAATAAGATTCACTGAAACAGCTCTATTCTCTTTGCATTTTCATGTCTGAACTGAAAAAAAGTACATATTCTGTTTTATTATTTGATTTGATTTAGAATTAATAAATAAAAATACAAGTTTTTCATGTTTTAACGAAACCAGAAGCAGGATATTCCCTGGATGTCGGCCATATTGGGCACACGGGGAAAACCTTTCAGTAGGAGATGATGCGACGTTCAGGTGTTATTGGAAATAATACAGGTATGACTTCAGGGATACGAAACAAGAGAACTAGAAAGAAGACATTAGAATGTTCTCATTTACTTCTCAGAGTGTTTTCATTTTTCAAATCATCAGCTAAGAGCCACTGGGTCTAGGTTTTCTTTTCATTTACACCTGAGCTGAAATGGTGAGTGGAGAAATCACTCAGCCGATCAACAGCTGTTGATCTTTGCTGTTTTACATTATACTATGTTGAATTGAACATTTCAACAACAAGATGATTCAAAGTAGTTTACATTAAAACTAAATGTAAAATCAACACACAACAACATAAAAAAAAACATTTGGATGAAAGTTCCGTGGGTTAAGTAGAAAATAAGAAATACAGGAATAAGAGTAAAAATGCACTGTGATTATTTGATTTAATAGCGTGCAGTGGCAAAGACAGAAATACATAAAAACTTTTTAAAAAATGCTTCTCCGTGTTTAGCAGACTTGTCCCAGATGACATGTAGGATCTTGATTCTTCATAATCATCAATGGACAAAGAAAAACCTCAAAAACTTTGTATGTTTGTAGTTATCGACTAAGTATTTGAAAATCCGAGTTTCTTTTGAGCGCCTGAACGCACCATGATTCCTCCTCCGGCCTCGTCGGCTCCTCGGTGCTCGTCCGGCTATTGTTGTGCGTCTTTCAGGGAAACCTCGACCCACGAGCAGGCGGTGATTTCTGGATATTCTCACTGTTTTTACTTCGCTCCGAGCTCCGCCACATTAAGCGGCGGTTGTCGGTCCGGCGACGTGCGTCCTGGTGTGGAAGGAACATCCAGGATCCCGGCGGAGGAGGAGGAGGACTTTGGGCTGGAGAAGTGAGTTAATCGGTATGGGACAGACAGAGATTCCACGTTAGAGACACAGAGAGAGATTGTGCCTGTGCTTGTGTCGGCGGTTTTCACTCTTCTCTTCTCTGGATCGTGAAAAAGAGACAAAAGCCCGTGCGTAAAGGCACCACAGGACGCATGTAGCCGAGGAACCACGCTGCTGAGGTCGCTTTCAAGGTAAGAGGAGCTTGGTAGAAGTGTTTGGTTTGGTCCTGGGAGTGTGCTGAGCTGGGCCTCGTAGCGCTGTGACACTTGGAGAAAGTTGGGGAAGCGGTTCAGGAGAGTTTCCTCGGTTTGGTGAAAACACCGGATCGTGGCTGTGGCTGATCCAGGAGCAGATCTGTGTGCGTCTTTGATTTGGAGAAAACAAGAATAAAGTAAAGAAAACTCCCTAACCCGTCCAGGAGTCAGACTTGACCCGGTGCTTTGCAAAGGGTTCTACTCATGAAATAGACAATATAAGGAATTATACCACACTTTGTTTGTAGGTTGCACAGATTCATTTAAAGTTTGGTTGACTTTCTTTCACTTAAGTTAAACCATTGCA